TGAAACATGAATAATGGAAGGGAAAATAACTTTAAAAAAAAAATAAGTAAATAAAAGCTGAAAGAAGAGAAAATCAGCAGAAAATAACCATCAGAGACCAAAATGTTATCCCCAGAAGCATGAAGCTATTGTACGGTCCGCATCATGGTTTGAACTCTCGCGAGAAAGATCACATCATATGGTTACTACCAATTTCTCACATTTTCGCACAAAAAATGCTTAAAAAGTTAAAACGGTCGAATTGTCTAAATGTTCACTGATAAATCACCTAAAAAATCACTGAAACAAATACAAAATTTATAGTGGCCGAAATAACAAATGATTTTCATATTTTAAACAAAAATAAAATTACTAAAAGAAAAAGAGGCTCAGAATTTTATGGGTATGAGAATATATCATCACAATATTCAGAGTGGTGCATGACATTCTCTATAATTCTCATCACAGCCCTATATGACAAATCCTATAAATCAATGTAATTGGGTAAAAATTAGCTGACATATTATGAACAAAAAGGAGGAAAAAGAAGATGAAAGGAGAAGTTTAGAGGAAAGTTTTAGGGAGATATGAAAAAGGAAATGAGACGAGTCGGCTTTATATTATTGCCGAGTGGAGCTTAACAAAGCCCTAGATGCACGAGCCCAAACTAACAGTGCCTCTTCGGCTATTTGTTGTTGGCCCAATAAACAGATGGAAAGCCCAACCCAAATTACTGCACGTATTGAAGTGAGCTTGAGTTCCCAATTATTCGAACCGGAATAAAGTTCTCTTTCACTCATGTAAACTAGAGCTCGGCCATGTATGTTTATATGAGTCGAGCTCGAACAATTAATCGAGCAGTTTATTAAACGTATCAAGTCATTGTTTGCAAACAACTCATTATTTTTATTCACTATTCGTTTGTGGATTTTAAATAAATAGTCAAGCTTTTTCGAGAATAGGTCGTATGGGTATTAGATTTGTTAAACTAGTCTACACGAGTTTTCACTAACGAATCGAGCCCTTTGTCAATTTATTAGTAGAGCCTATTCAGACCGACTTATTTCTTAAACAAGCACAAGCTTGAACATGATCTATTCGAATAATCCATGGTGCTCACAATATTTAGCACCATAATATTATAAAAGTACAAACTTCAGCCATTAATGTGAAAACAAGATCAATTTTTCAGGGATCTTTTGACACTTTTAGAAGCCTCAGGGTTCCTCCCTAATTAGAGCTCAGATATATAGCACAGATTTCATATGCACCCCTAATATTTTTATGCAAATATAGATTTTAACATTTTCGTACTTTTTCTAGCTCGTGATGGTTGAAACTATTGCAATTTCTTGAATCTGCAAATAGAAAAGAAGCCAAGTAACTGCACAAGACCACCTAAAGAGCACTTCTCAGTTCTCACCCATGAAAATAATGCATGTTTTACAATGTAAAAGTTTGCCAAAATTCTAAAGAAAATCTCTGATTTCTGCACAATCTGTATTATGTGCAATCCAAAACCTCTTCCGCTATATACTCAGAGAATATAACTTTCAGAAGTATCTCCAGAGTTACGGACATTCTAAAACCGATGCCTACAGTTAGAACCCTTGATTTTTGTACTTGCAGATACTGTATATATATCTTCCTGCAAAAACTACATATATATAGATAGCAAGGTTAGCTGATGAAAACTGTTATCTGTATTTCAACTGGGAAGAGGACCCTTTAACTTTATGATGAGTTCTCTTCGCGTCATATAAACCACTGTCACTGGCACTCCCTTCAATGAGCTCGTCATGCACCTCCGAAAATTCTTTGGTCCTCGAATTTAAAGGGACCAAATGGCTGTCATCCTTTGATTTCTTCTTTCTCTCCTCAAACTTCTTCACATTTTCAGATATCTGATGGAAAGTTCTGTTGATTTTCGCTAGCCCTCTTTCGACAGGTTCTACCACGTGCGAGACCGTGAACTTCATGTCATCCACAATCTACGGAGGCAAAAATCATAGCCAAAAGGGGTCAAAATTGGAAAAAGCAACGTGCAATTTAACAAAATGGGTCTAGGTAGGATGTGGGCAAAATCGAGCCTTGGCCTCATATATTTAAGGCCCAAAAAATTCCAATCATATTTTCAACGAATTTAACAAAAAATTCCAATCATATATTTAAGGCCCAAAAATTCCAAACATAATCTAGAATAAATGACAGGGATATTTGTAATTCGGAATTTTAAAAAGGGTGTAAACTGTAATATTTTTTTTTTTTAAAGTAAAGAACAAATAGCAATGGATAATGATTCTCACAATTTCGCCACTTCCTAAGACAACATCACGAACGCTTTGGTGGAGCCTCGGGCGTTGATCTCTCTCCTCATGGCGGGAAAATCGAATCCTAGTGAATCTTTCGGAATCTTGAACCTCGTCAGGATCTGGTGGGGTCCCTAAAGATGCATAATCTGACATCACAGCAACATTTCTCACACATCTCTCCCCACGTTTGTAAGGAGCCGCTGGGAATACAAATAGATGTACAACAGCAGCAATACCCATCTGAATCACAACATCAAAGCTTTGCTAATAAAGAAACTAAAAACATATTTGAAGGGTACTAACTGATGAGATCAACTTAATGTTGAACTGAGGAATAATAAATCTTGTATGATCTTCAAGAGATCCGAATTTACTATCGTAATCAAATTGGATTGAATGAAACATGAACACACATATATAAAAATAGGCAAGATAATTTTGAAGCAGAAATATTTTCACGGACCTCAATACAGATGATATAGTCTTGAATGCGTGTTTTAAGAGCGAGTGCCAATGATCCTTTTAAGGCTCCAAAAGAGAAAAGAAAGGCAACAGCAACACCTTGCCACCATGTCAGGAATACAATGGACTTAAATGTCAGAAATTTGGCCAAAGGTTTAATTGGCGCAAGCTTATGCTTGGTAACGGAATAGAACTGCACTAGGCAATATAAGGCCCAAGTCTGGCTGAAATTCAGAACCACTGCAAGATATGGATAGCTGCAGGCAAAGCACAAGATTTCAGATTTTAACACAGACAGTAGACAAAATTGTCAAGCAGCGCAAGGATTAAAAAAAAATTAATAACAATAGCTTACGCGTAATTCCATTCAAACTTGCCATCCCCATAAACACCTAAAAACTCAAAGAGCATCGCTAGGAAGGCACATATCATTTTCAATATCATCTGCAAAAGTAGGCATCAGGTTAGATTTATTGCATAACGAGATAACAAAACATGATCAGAATATTTAAAAATGGAGTGTGTACATATTGGACGATGCCAATTTTCACGGCCTGATAGAAGTCGGATCCAAGATTCCAATCCCTTAAAAAACAATTCAAGGGAAATGGATGTTCGACAACTCCATAAGCATAAGTCTCATCTAAAAGAGGTACGCTGGAGGTGGCCAATGTCTGTTTTTCCATGAACTCAATGGTGTTATCCTCTCCACCTGCAACACATTAAATGATCCCCGAAATCAGAAAAAACACATCAGGAATTTAAAGAAATAGTTAGCCAAGGACAAGCAAATGAGAAAACTAAACTCACAAAATGGCATTACATCAGGAAGGAGTTGAGTAGAATGGACATACCTAAGCAGGCTATGAGATATCTTTCAAAGCAATACAATGCAAACGCTTCATAACAATCTCTTATAATTCCGCAGTTGAATGCAGCATCAGAATTCAATAAAGATACAAACTGTTCACAAAACCAAAAATGTGACTAAGACATTGAATAAGTACCAACCAGAGAATAAAAGACACAACCAGAAATAGACCTAAAATTTTGCTACCCAAGCACAGTCTAGTCCACAAAGAGTGTTCCATCTGTCAACTTGTAGAACATCTTGTGCTACAATCATCTTAGAAGTATAATTTAAGAGTAAAACATATACTAAACAAAAAAAACCTCAAATTCAAGGAAACTTTTCAAATTTCTCAGTGCCAAATATATAACATGGCTTGAGTAGCAAACGAGAACCAAAGAGAAAAAAGGGGGAGAGTATCCCAAGAGACGTAATATCTATTTAACAACATCAGATAGTTTTTTTTCAACACGGATAACTATCATCTCATGACTGGTCACAATGTTCTCAAGGAATATACAAATTGTTGTTATTACCGATTCCACTGCATAAACAGGCACCATAAGAATGAGTCCAATTAAAAATTTCTGCTCCTGAAATAAAAGAGAGCATAACTGTTAATACTGAAAATAAAGTTACAAACAAGGAACTAGGCCAACTTATTTGATGATAAGAGATACTTAATATGTATAGTTGCAGATCCTGGCATAAATTTAAGAAAGCGCTGATTGCACAGTAAGATAAGATGTGATGGTCAGGCAGATTCAACAGCGAAAGATAAGACAAAGCCAATACTGACCTCTGGCTGATTGTACGCAGCTAAATGCTCGAAGATAAGGTACATAGAAAGAAGGAGAGCCACCATCACAAAGATGGCTGCACTCGTAACTGCCCAGCTGTAGAGTGATGAAGTTCCAGCATTCAAGTCGGCGGACAAAAATCTCGCCAACCTGTCAGTTGATTCACCAAACTTCGCAAGGCATAATAACAACACTAATACTCCTCTCCAACTCATCCTTAACCAAGAGAGAGAGAGAGAGAGAGAGAGAGAGAGAGAGAGAGAGAGAGAAATAAAAAGTTTATCCGGTTGCTAGATAACCTTCAGCCAACCTAAACAACACTACAAGGATCGTGCCAAAAATCGGGCAATCAAGAAAACCAGCTCAATAGAACCTCAACTCCACATTAACTTGATTCACCAATCTCGACACACGGGGACATAAATCCTACAAAGAAAAAAACAGTTTTGCAAGATCAAAAAGTGGGTTCAGTTTGAAGTTCATGATCAGCTCTAGATGAACATAATACACTTAGGACATGCGAAAGGACAATCATGCATCAGGCTTTGACTACACAGCTAGGCATTAATGACCTATAATATAGCCAAACCACAAATTGCACTTCTGAAAGAGCAGCTCACACACAAAAACTAGACCAGCAATACAAAGAGAAAAAAAATAATAAAACCCCTAATTTATGCGAATTAATTTCGCAGACTCAAAACGCAATGCATAAATTTTCACCTCAGACCTGTACCTCTTCTCGACCAAAACGTTCCACCCAAAAATCGATGAAAAATCCTCGAATCACGAGTTTTGCTTCACGATTACGTCTTTACATATTGAGTAATGANGTGATAAGAAAATAAAAGTCGTTCAGATTATATTTTACATATTTTTTTTATTACTGATTTTCTGTATCCATCAACTATTCCGTCGACGGTTGAAAGTGGTGGAAACCTAGATGCTAAGATCACGGTGACGGCACACGAGCAACTCACAGTCCCATTACGTGGCAGAATTCATAGAGGAAGCGTAGCGATTGGCTTTGCTAACACAGGCCGTCGTTCTAGCTTTTCCCCGGCACATCTTCCCTCCGGTTGATTTTCATTCGGTTGCATATGACTGGTTATTTGTCGTGTTTTGAGGATTTTAGCTCACGAGCACGGATCAGGAATAAACTGTAGAGTTCTGGTATATTTGACAGGGGTAACTTGGTTATTATATCAGTTTTTAGGGGTCAATATGAAATCATTTGGATTAATACTGAGTCTAATTGTAACTTTGACTTTTGACTCTATGTTGATTACTTCAATTTATAAATAAAATAAATATTATTTTCAACTCATATTTCTTTTATTTGAAACATGATATATGATAATGTTCATATCAGTGTGACATAAGAAACAACTCATCGTTACATAAAAATATTCTGACCACGAGAATATAGGATAAGTAAGATAAAATTTTATTTTAATATTATTTTAATTGCTCATAGTTTTATTTTATTGGTAAAATATATTTAAATTTAGTAGAAAAATATACGTTCAAGTAGATTATTTCAAAATTAACTAAATCCAATAGTATTTTTAATTAAGTTACTTGATATTATTAAATTAACCAATTTGTACAAATACATTTATGAACATGTCAATACAATTACGTTATTTATCTTTTAATGTCATATAATTAAAAATTAAAATAACTGCTTACCTAATATGGAAAATATACATAAATAGTTATTTGAAGTATGGTATGATAAATAAATTTCTTCATATACATTCATACCTTCTTTGATGTATAATCTTAGACTTAATCGTTATTTTTGAATTAACATATATATATATATTGTTAAAAAAAAATTGAATTCCTCTATATAAATGCAGAATTTATGGAGTCTAATGTCAAGTAATCTTGTGTGCGAAAAAGAATTTCCATTACACGAGATAATAGTATCAATATTCAACAAGAAACAATTGCTTGCACATTCAAAATCTACAATGGACAGCCCGTTAAAAACAGAAAACAGGCTAAGCTAACACCTTCTACATACTTGAACAACATATCACTATTTTGGTCAAATAAATCGGTTAAGCCAATTTTTCTTGTTGAAACAAAAATCGATTGGCCAGAATTGTTTGTCACCCATCGTTGAGATTATATACAGTTTCAACCAAGAATATCCCGAGTTTCTGAAAAGGCAANAGAAAAAAAAAAAAAAAAAGTATAAAAAATGCTCATCGTACACCTCTTATGGGATTTAAGAAAGTGGCGTGTCATCAGGTTCTCAAATCGCATTACTGCTCGTCCGAGTAATTCTCTTCGCTTCTTCAAGGTCCTTCAAAAACCTGTGGAGACATAAGTGCAATGAAAGGATTATCTACAGAAATACTATTATTAGTAGTGTCATTGTTACTAATCTTTCGTTCAAGAAAAAGTTTATCCGGCTGTAAGATAACCTTCAGCCAACCTAAACAAGACTACAAGGATCATGCCAAAAATCCGGCAATCAAGAAAAAACCAGCTCAACAGAACCCCAATTCCACATTAACTTGATTCACCAATCTTTGACACACGGAGACATAAATCCTACAAAGAAAAAACAGATTTGCAAGATCAAAAATTTGGTTCAGTTGCAAGTTCACGATCAGCACTAGAAGAACAAAGCACAAGCGAAAGGACAATCATGCATCAGCTTTGCCTACACAGCTAGCCATTAATGACCTATAATATAGCCAAACCACAAATTGCACTTCTGAAAGAGCAGCTCACACACAAAAAATAGACCAGCAATCCAAAAACAAAAATAAAACCCTAAATTTAGGCGAATTAATTTCGCAGACTCAAAAACGCAATGCATAAATTTTCACCTAAGACCTGTAACTCTTCTCGACCAAAACTTTCCACCCAAAAATCGACGAAAAATCCTCGAATCACAAATAGTTTTGCTTCACGATTACGTCTTTACAGATTGAGTAATAAATGCACAAAATTTGAAAAACAAAAATAAAATAAGAGTAATCAGTGATAAGAAAAGAAAAGTCGTTCAAATTATATTTTACATATTTGGTTTTATTACTGATTTTCTGTATCCATCAACTTTCCTTCAACGGTTGAAAGTGGTAGAAATTAACAAAATCTACTCAGACTAGGTCTCTACTTGAGTCTAAAATAGACTTAAGGGTAGACCGAGTCTATTTTTTTGGCTGCCACATCAGCATGACTCAGTCTACTTTTAATTATATTGAAGAATAAATTGAGTCTATTTGTTAGGTAACATATAATGTTTTGGAATTAAACTCAAAGCATTGTGTATACTCTAAGAGCATCCACAATGCTTTGGGTTTAATCTCAAAAAATTATATGGCACCTAAGAAATAGACTTAGTCTAAAGAAATATATTCTCCAATGCAACTAAAAATAGACTGGGTCCTGCTAATGTGGCAGCTAGAAAAAGAGACTCGGTCTCCCCTTAAGTCTATTCTAAACCCAAGTAGAGACCTAGTCTCTTCGTATTCGAGTGAAATTTATTAATTTCGCATAGTTTTATCCATGTCATCTAAAACTTGGGTTTATTTACATGCCTCATAGACAAAACTAGACTCAATGCATTGTAAATGTTTAGCAAAGCCAATATCGACGCTTCCACTATGAATTCTGCCATGTTATGGGACTGTGAGTTGCTCGTGTGCCGTCACCGTGATCTTAGAGCACCCACAATGCTTTGGATCTAGTTTTGCAGATGTGGCATATAAAATGGACTCAGTCTAAAATGATATGGACAAACCCAAGTAAAAAAACCCAAAACCTTTCCAATGCAAAAATAAAATGCTAGGTCTAAAATCAACCAATAAAAATATAAAAATAAATACGTCTGTTTCATTCCCATCTCCCTTGTCCATCCAAGTTCTTTTTCTTCAACCAATTGAGCACGGGGATCGTCACCAGAATCATCACGTTGTCGTCGGGGGCCGTCTACGATGACAAAATGTGATACTCAAAATTTGGCTCGATTTTGGTAGTCTCATTTTAAAAGATAAATAATTTAGTTCGATATTGGAGTGCTATCTTTTTGCTGGTCATGTTTTCTTTTATTGTTGGTGTTGTCGTCCCATTATTTTGTTTTATGTTTACTCCGTTAAAACAGAAGGGGCTTATTAAACCAGTTTTCGGTTACCAAAAGTAACATAATTCGGTTCGGCAGCTTCATTTTGAAAACTGAGTAATTTTGGCATTGGAATGCTATCTTTTGTTGTTCGTTTTTTATTTTGTTGTTGGTGTAGTCTCATTGTTTTATTTATACTGCGATAAAACAAAAAATGGGGCTTACTGAACAGGTTTTTCAGTTACCGAAAGTTGGGTAAATGCACATAATTGGGTTGGGTTTTGGTTAAGGTCATCATTTTGAAAACTAAATACTAAATCCTTTATAATAATATTTTTTACAAAATTGATATCAATTTAAAATAAATTCTTATTTTGCAACTTTATTTTTCCTGTACGCACATTTGAATTTCATAGGGATAAAACTCAGGCAACAGATTTCAAAGGTAAAGTCGGCTCACTATCCACTTCTCACGTTATTGATTCCTTCCCGGATGCTCAGGTTTTCAATGTTGGCAGCAAGAGTTTTTAATGTTCGGATTCGGCAATATCTCAAAGAAAATGGAGTGACATATGAAGACAAGTATGGACCCGAACAGCCTTAGGATTTTAGGTTTGGGAGAAGTAGGTGAACAAAACTATTAGTTTCGGCACTACCAGGTACATATATCATCATGACAACATTGATCATGAGTCGTTGAGGCGTCAACTACTCTTTATCCCTTCTTGGCTTCTATAGCTATCATATCAGATCAGACCTTAATCATCTCCGACAAGATAAAATGTCCTCCACAAATTAACCTGTCCGGTTGAACTGAAAGTAAATGGTGAAGCACCTTTGTGTTTTGTGTGCTTACAGGTTTCGAGTCGGTGAACGGGCAACCCTATTACGAGATACTCAATAATTGGGGAAGGTTTGCAGTCATGGATTCGGTCCAACATTGCCGAGCACATCTTAACTGTATCCGATTTCAATGTAACTGAAAACTGAATTAGCTATCCCAAGCTCTCAGTTACTTTGAAATTGGATACAGATACAGTTAAGATATCCTTCGACAATATTCGACGAATCAATCACGGGCCTAACCTTCTCCCCAATTATTGAGTATCTCGTAATAGGGCTGCTCGTTCACCCACCCGAAACTTGTAAGCACACAAAGGTGTTTCACCACTTTACCCTGAAGGTTCAATCGGACTGTAGAGGACACTTCATCTTGCCGAAGATGATTGAGGTCTGATCTGACAACTATAGAAGCCAAGAGAGAGGAGAAGAGTAGTTGACAACGACTCATGATCAATGTCGCCATGACGATACATGTACCTGGTAGTGCCTTTTGAAACTAATAATTTTGTTCCCCTCCTTTTCCCAAACCTTTTGAATCTCTCAAAAATCCCAAGACTGTTCGGGTCCATACTTGTCTTCATATGTCACTCCATTTTCCTCGAAATATTATCGAATCCGAATATTAAAACTCTTGCACCAGCATTGAAAACCTGAGCATCCGGGAAGGAATCAATAACGTGGGAGGTGGATAGTGAGCCGACCCCTTTGAAATCTACTGACCTATGAGTTTTATCAACATGAAACTCAAATGTGCGTACAGGAAACATAAAGCCGCAAAATAAGAATTTATTTGAAATTAGTATCAATTTTGTAAGAAATATTATTATAAAGGATTTAGCATTCAGTTTTTTCAAAATAATGCCTTAACCAAAACCCAACCTAATTACAACTTTCGGTAACTGAAAAACCGGTTCAGTAAGCCCCATTTTTGTTTTTTCCGCAGTATAAACAAAACAATGAGACTACACCAACATCAAAATAAAAAACGAACAGCAAAAGATAGCATTCCAATACCAAAATTATTCAATTTTCAAAATTAAGCTACCGAAACCGAACCGAGTTATGTTCAGTTACCGAACTTTCGGTAACCGAAAACTGGTTCAATAAGCCCCTTTTTGTTTTAACGGAGGAAACACAAAACAAAATAATGGGACGACAACACCAACAATAAAAGAAACATGAACAACAAAAGATAGCACTCCAATATCGAACTGAATTAATCAACTTTTAAAATGAGACTACGAAAACTGAGCCAAATTTTGAGTATCACATTTTCGGGCAACAGGGACATCCACGATCTGTCTTTACCAAAACAAAATGTTAACTAATTAAAACCATCCACAACAAACGACGTGATTAATAAATCAAATTGAAGACAAATAGAATGGGCTTGCGAAACTGGTATTTAATCATCGACCAATGATTTAGAGAAACATTTCTTACCTATGTCCACCTTCTCCTTCTGCATCCAAGTGGCCTCAGCGGGTGATAATGTAAGCACATACTTATCATCACTGCCATCCTCTAAATAGAGTTCGGTGAAAAAAAGCACTTCTTCCTTGGGGCACACCCTTGCCTCAAAGTTCAAATGCACCCAATGTTTCCTCTTTTCAGTGAAGTCCATCAATACACCCGTGCCCGTAAAACCATTGCCTTCAACAGCCCTTTCAAACTTCAAGCTTATTTCCTGGGTCGTTTGTTTTTCAATAAAATAAAACAAAATGATAGATTAGGAAAGGACCAGAGGTAAAAAGAACAAAAGAATAGAAAAAGGTTTGAGATGAAATCAAATACTTGTTTCGCAATATATCCTGTAAAGCGAATTCAGCCAATTTAGCAGCAGCCTCTGCAGAGTAACTTAGGATTGCTATCCACTCTGAATTGTGAAAAATCAAATTTAGTTATTATTTGCTCATTTTTCAATTGCCAAAAACAAAAATATATATTAGAGGACAGAGAAGAGATTACGTAGCGTCAAAACCAGAATGAAATCCACAACGCGGGTGATTTATGTAAGAAAGACAATGCTGACAACCGTACTCTGTATCAATCCATGAAATTAAAAAATGTTGATAGTAATAACAACACAACAATAATTTCAAACAAAGTGAGTGGAGCCTTTTTCCTGCCTCACACAAACTAGAAAGGATCACAGGACTAAACTGTTACAATTAATAAAACAGGATATTACATGAGAATTTGTAATTTTTTAAGATATGCAACTAAGTACAAAGATGTTTCTCTATCAGCGATTACACCAAAAATGACAAATGAAAGAAAATCAAGTCAGAAAGAGAAAGAGTTACATCTGGCGCAGGCTAACCGAATAAAAACAGAAAGCAATAGGCCAACGAGAGGAACCACCAAACATATCACTTAAACAAATAGATAAGATAAATTGTTGTGATGTGCAAACAATCATTGAAAAAGTAAAATTTACTTCAACATGATTAGAAAAGCAGAATACCTCCATCTGTAGGTCCCACGAGTGATAATGTAGTGAGCTAAAACCCTTTTCTACCTAAATATACTTCGGCAAACAAAAGAAGTGGTTCGTCGTTGGGACCAGCATCCGGCCGCCTGGCCTCAAAGTTGAAATGCCTCTAACAATAATGCCTCTTTATAAAGCACCTTCCAAACCCAGGTCCATCCAAATCTGTTGCTTTCTCGTCCAGACACCTCACAAACTCCAAACAAGTTCCCTGTTAGAATTTCCGAATTAAACATACAAAAGCACTGCATCATATTACGAATGACCACAAGAAAAAAGAGAAAAAAAAAGTAACATTTATATGGATAAGATAGAACATTAACATGTTTGTTGTTGTAGTGTTGCAATGCAGATTGGGCTACATTCTCGTTCGAACGGGTATATAGGAGCTAACATCTCTTCCATATCCCATAACTCTCTGACATTAAACATCCTGCGCTTACTACAGGAAACAAATGATCATGTCATTTATAGTAATATACACTTCTACAGAGGATAACAACTGATTAGAACCAATTTTTATAAGTTAATAATGACGGAGGCAATACATCAAACCAGATTAGAGGAAAGGAGTAAAATCCACAAAATTCATTGAAAAGAAAAAAAAAAAGTAAGAAAAAAGAAAAGAATTGTCACTTACAGATCTTCTATTTGCAGTCCGAGAGTTCCCTGTGAATATTTAAGAAATATACAGATAATTGAATTAAATTATGAATGATTATCAAAAAGAAAAGAGATAATTGATTAATCACGGATAAATAATTTATAAGGTGCCAATTGATTACATATTCTCGTTATTATTTAGCCAAATGAAGAATATTACATTAAAGGACGTGCAACAATTTCGATGGGCAATATGAATTTTCAAAAATTAATCATTTATATGTCTTAATTATGTCTTTTGTTAAGACGCAAATGCACATTTCCCATTGGAAGGGATAACTGAAGATTTGTTTATTTGTTATTTAATTGATTTTGTATTTTGTTTGTAATAAAAAATATTACTGTATAATTCTTACAACTTGATTGTTCGGCTGAGGCACAACGTTATCCGAACGAGACTGCGCCGGCCTTATCGGAGTCGATTTAGTTGAGGTATTCGCCACCTTGGCCAGCTGCTTCTTCTCAGCCTTCTTGCTTTCCGGCGCCTTCCTCTTTGTCACGGCATTGGCCTTCGCAGCCGGCTTAGCTTTGGGTTTTGCTTTCGGCTTAGGTTTGGAGACAGCTGCCTTCTTCTCCTTGGCGCCGACAGCTTTTAGTGCGGAAACAGAAACAAACTTCTTATTCTTCTTCGCGGCCGGAAGCTTGAAGGAGCTCTTCACCTTCACGAGTTTGTCGTTGGCCACGAGCTTCTTCAGCTGGAGGAGAAGGACCTTCCGGAAATTGGCCGGCAGGTTCTTCTGTTTGTCCTCGATGAACTTCGCGATGGCGGGCTGGCTGGAAACAGTTTGGTCCTTCAGTGTCACGATCGCATCCTTAATCATCTGCAAAATCCACCAGAAAATTCAGATCCAACCACAAGAAGTAAAAAAATCCGAACAAAAAAAAAGGTACAAAATCACGGATTTAAAGGCGGATTGATCAATCAATACCTCGAAGTACGGAGGGTGTGTGGGGGCAGCGGTGCGCTACTTCCGAGCAGGCTCGATCAGGACAACTTGCTCTTCAATGGTGGCCATGGAGCAATTCACTGAGAAATTAGGGTTAGCGATTGTTTTTTCTTTTTAGGAATTTGGGTGAAATGTAACGGAAAACGTGGGTGGATTTAAAGCATTGTGGGTGCTCTGAGTATCGTTCAAACTGTCATCGTCGAGCCACGCCACGCAATCACCGAGGTCGTGGGGGTGTCTCCAACGACGTCTTCTATTCAAAATTGGTAGGTATTTCTTTTTTTTTTTTAGGAAATAGCGAAATAGTGGAGTCTTTCTGCCAACGTCGGTAGAGTATTTCTGCCAACGACATCTTCTGTTCTCAATTGAGACTCCACATTAGGGATGGCAATGGGACAGGTCGGGCCGGGTACCTACGGACCCAGACCTGGCCCGTATTTTTGCCCTGTGGACCCGACCTGACCCGTGCCCCGCGATGGGTACAACAGGTCGGACCTGTGCCCTTGCCCCGAAACGGGGCAGGTCGACCCGCCCTGACCTGTGGCCCGTGCCCGACCCGGTTCGACCCGCCCTGACCTATGTTTTTTTGCTACATTGTTGCACTTTAGCAACACACTTGCAACAGGT